GCCCCTTAGTGCTTTCAACTAGGAGTAATATATCTTTTACACCCTGATTTCAACAGCCACCCTAGTATACAGGTCAGAAGCAGACGTAGATAAAACGTCGAGAGTTATCTAAAAAATTGAGGGTTGTAATTATCTTTGCTCTTCTAGGGGTAAAACAAAAGACTGTGTAACCGATCGTACCAGACGAAACGGAAACAAACTGATATCAGTGATGCCTTTCCTGTGATTTCGCACAAAGTCGGAATGCTTGAAGATCTGTGTGAACAGACCCAGACTGTGAATTGTGTATTGACCATGGCGGTTCACACTCTTTACTCCTTCCTCTTAAGCAGGTTTGCTGCTTAAACAACTTCAAGTTTCGGGGCATACTTAGAATAATCGTCAGTGTAGCTGCGAACAGTCACATTTGCTCCACTGTTGCTTTGAGTGTGGGTGTGTGGATGATGATGATGAGGAAGATGACGACGATGATGATCCGATTTCAGCAAACTAGTCCAGCAAGGGTGTTCACCGTTTCTCGAGTGAATAACCATTGACAAAGTAGCTTAGTCCAGTGCCCTACTTAAAATACCATTCTGCAATCCATTTGCAAATATTTCATTTGGCCATCATTATCATCATCCGTTCATCAACCCCTTCTCGCTCTCCATCCCTTGAGATTTTTTTTTCAGTCGCCTGACTGGCCACTTCATGCACCCCCAATTCGCGTTGATAGTGAACATACGATTCAATTGAATGAAGCAGCTGTGCAGCTGTTCCACAAATGTGGTCGTTCATGCCTAGTTTATTCCTCAAGCAACGCCAAGGTTTGCGACTAACAATTTTAGCTTTCACCAACGAAATCCTGCAGGTTTTGTACAGATAAATCAGATATGAATATTTTCAAGTCATTTATGGACCGTGTGGCGCCGGCAGTAGGTTAACCTGAGCAGGATTAATTGCCATGTGATTCAAAGCTTACGGAATTGATATAATTGATTGGAATATGGGGCGGGTTATGCTCCAACTTTTTTTCTATTTTATTATTCAACTGCAACCGATCACAATGGTCACCTGTATCACTTGAAACGTAACTAAAGTGAAATCAAAATACTAACAAATTAAATTCAAAATACCTTGCTGGGACTTGGAAAAGAATATCTTGTACTTATTTCCAGCCCCTTGGAATACCTTTTAGTAAACTTATCACATGTTGTTTAACATGAATCCTGCCCTAGCGCGTAATTCACCGGATGCCCAACAGCATCCGACATTGTTACCGCTTCAACGACATGCTGTTTAGCACCATCACCACTACCCAGCAAGCCAGCTAAAAATGCTGTTCGGTTATGAATCATCCTCTCCGTCCCTCTCTGATTAACAAACTTGAGGGATATATTCACGGTTGTACTCAAAATTCACGGAAGCCTAGTATCTAATGAGGAGAGAACAGCTCAATAGGCGACCCAAAGTACCAAGAGCCATTAATTTATATGAGCCGGATAGAAAAAGATTTGGGATACGTTACTTCTTATAAGTTAAGCATCCTACCCGTATGCTATCTTTTTCTTCATGATAAATTGGTCAATGCCAGTGTGTTCCACATGGTTTATAAATTCTCCTTTCCAACACACTGCACTCCAAACTCTAGAATACAATTTTACTTTCTCGACAATCGATCGTTAGAACAGAACGCGCAACTTCGCCGTCTTACTCCAACAGCAACACATGCTATAAGAAATTAAAGCAGTCTCTTGTTACATATAAAGATTTTAGCAGAAAGGATATGCTTTTTTCACCGGTATAATGTCACTTTTAATCTTTCTTATCAGCTGTGATCAAATTTAAACAAAATCAATGAAAAAAGCATCATGTGATAAATTTTCCGTGGATACAATCCAATTGAAACTGAACAAAAAAGTAACCATAGTCAGAAAAACCTCACATCCGATTGTTTCGTGGTCTGAAATAGTGAAATAGGCCGTTACAATTCTGTGATATTTGACAACTATCAAATAGTATATTTCTAACAATATGCTTCATTTTCTGGCTATCATCCTTTGCAATAAATCCCAGGTTCCCGTGTCCAGCCGATGTGTGTTTGCATCGTTCGGTGTTTTAATAACACAGTTAGAGGAGTCCATGATTTGAGCCACTCAACAGCTCCAGTAAGTTGAAAATCACTACTCAGTGTTTGGGTCTCCGCAGGCTCAGTTTTGATAACATTCCAATTACATTTCCATATTAGGAAGGGGAAAAATCGAATCAGAGGTTTCCTGGGAAAACATTAAAATGGAAAAGCTGGGCAACAGTGGCAGAAAGCCAAATCAGGGCCCTTTGTCACCGTATTGATGATCTCAGTGACATACGGCCAGTTTTGCTGTCTTTACCGCACACCAAACACGTGCATCTACGTGCTGCGAATGCGAAGGAGAGTGATTGCGGGAGATGTAAAAATGGAAAAGAAAATAGAATTCCTTATTTGTTTAGAAGGAGTGGGGGTGGGTGGGTTGAGCCCTCAATCGCGATTCGAGTTCCAGTTGAAAGAGAGTTAGTTTGGACTGTTTATGAGTTTCGACATAAACCAAACAAATTTCTATATAGTGCCCAATGTCTGTCATGACACCGCAAATGAGATGTATTTGTATGTGCGGAAGGAAATTACTTCTGACTAGGGAGACCGATTTTAGTTCAAGGTCGTCTTCGGTGGTTTCTAGTCTGACCTATTCGTGACAAGAGAACGGTTGCTAGTTTTCATTTGCGATGTGGTTTCATTAGCCTTTCATAAACAATAAATGAAAATGGGGCAAAACAATCGTTACAGCTAATTCTTTATAACCAGCTGCACAAAACACACTAATCGAACTGATTTTTGGGCCAGGTATTAAAGACTTTATGCCTAATTGGTTTTCCATAACAGTTGTTCTTCAGTTAGAATGTGCTACAATTCACTGTCTATATCCTCAACCCAACAGAAAAAAATCACTTGATCCGCTCCCCTCGACCCGACCCCATCTACTCACTCAGTGCGGATTTCACCGCATTACCAGCATTAGTATGGATGTTTCTGAAACAGACAACATTCCCTGAAGCGATAGTCTGATCGTTGTCGGGAAAAGTAAACCACTAATGTCCTTTCCCCGTTTGATGTAAAATACAAATGGGTTTTTCTACACCGTCATCCACCCCCGCCCCTGACCGCCTTTCCGTCGTCGCTGGTTAATGGGTCACCAGCANAGTTTCCTGGAATGAGACGGAATTCCATTTGTTCAAGTGGAAAATTGGCTAAGCGGGTCATACCCGTAAACCTATTTGTGTTGGCATTGTTTGTGCACCAGTGTGAACCAGTCCGTTGATTTTGCCACAGCCGTGCCCCGCCCCCCTGATTCCCTGCTGTGGTTGTTGTTGTTGTTCTCGCTGCAGACACTGTTGCTGTTTAGGTGCTTTTTCGTTGTTCACCATCCGAAGTTTGTGATTTCGATGAACCTAGCTTCATTTCGATTAGATTGCTTTTCACATCAGGTCTGCCAGTGACACATTGCAAATGTGTCGCCTGACCTAAATTGACCTAAACGGCAGGCACAACAGCAATAGTAGTAGTAGTAGTAAGGGTGTCATAAACAAGACGCGGTAATCAGATCAGTTCTACACGAGAACAAAACCGGGATAACCAATATTTGTTTGTAGTATTTGTTCTTCTAAATTGCCCCGGTCAAAACCGTTTATGTGATGCTTGCTTGCAATCCAACAACCAATTGGGACAATGCCCCACTGCCCCTCGGTTGCCTGCAATATATGATTTGTTTGATTACCAAAAATCCAAACAGCTATGGGGTGGGTGGGTGGATGGATGGGAGTAATTTGTTTTCATCAAACTTGTGTGTTGGGTGAAAGTGACATTTTGTTGATATTCCTGGACACGTGAGTAAATCAATGTATCAACAGGTTCAGTGTACTTTTATCAGACCTATTTATTTCTCAGGCTAAGCGGATTGGGATTTTTGTTTTTGGCCAAATCTAAGCTCCTTTTCAAAAATTTCCCTCCTGGCCATACTGATGATTTTACATCAACAATTCCAAATTTATAATAACCATCGTAGGAGATTTTTCCCCATTTATTCCGAGAATTGTCCAGAATATGATTGTTTTGCAGACCAGCGATCTACCTATGTCATCTACCGTTTGATCTAAAATGCAACTCATTTTTCCTTACTTTTTGCTGCACCTCCGAGACCAGAGAGTGCTTAAAGTTGTTTTTCGTATGGTTGTAGTCTAGCCGCACTGCTTTCAACAACACTTAAGTTCCACCACCAGTCCCAAAAGGTAAGGAATGGGTATGTATTTAGTTTTATTTTGGATGACTATGTTAAATACCTTACGGGAAATCGAATAACTAAAGGTTATATAATAAAATGAATGGCAAATCGACATCATCAAACAGAGTATCGATAAATATGCATTTCGTTATATATCCGTCATATAATTGGGGTGTTTCTAAATAAATACCGATGATAGGAAAGGTTGAAATGCTAAATATAGCAGTTTGACTTCAGTAGTATCAAATAGCTGATTTTAGAACTATCTGCTGCTCATGGATGTCCAATCCCAATGTACGATTTTATTTGACAGTGCGGTAAATTTTGTGAGATAATATACTTTATAAACTGCAAATTATCCAACGAGGTTCAAAGAAGTATATTTACGGGCTTTGAAAAAGGATCGTCTTGTGAAATAACGCTGACAAGCTTTTTCACGTTCCCTTATGGTTATTATTTCGTACGAACGCAGATGTTCATTTACCCCAGGGCTATCCTACACGTTTATACCGATACAACGGATTCGATAGGACATCTTTCACTGAAGTGTGTTGATTTATTAAATATGTCGTCCATACACAAACGGAAATGAAATTCAAGCTAAAAATTATTGAAACTTTCTGCATAAAATAAACAAAACACATTCTGCTAAAGTATCAAGAGTTGCGACTCGGATTTCAATTCCAATTCGCGTTCTAATTGCAGAAAAGAACTACGCCGACTCGTCGTTCTACTCAGACCCGAATAAGTACTACCCGACAATCGAGGAACAGATTGAGATGGCTCGTAAAGTCGCGGACAGTTTGCAAGATCCAGAAAATTTGTTCTCCAAAGGTGTCAACATGTTCGAAAAGCAACGATTACGGGCGGACAAGCATGTGCGTGAAGGTCCCGAACCCGAGCCGGACCCGATTGAGCAGGTGAGAGTCAATACTGATCATCGTCATAGTTTATCGCTTTGATTAGCATCTATGACCACCTGTTACAATCTGCTTCGCCCTATTCGGACTGTACTCTACACCACCTCCTATTCGTTCGACGAATAAAATTGTAGAGTACTTTACTACTAAACTTCCGGACAGCCGAAAAATGAAGCTATTTATTTTGCGATAGAAATGTTTTCCCTTAGAGTCAAGATTTTATATTAAAATTAAAACAGTTATGTCTCATTCCTGATTTCAAATAAGCTTTTAGCATTGCATGTGTATCCACTGTTATCCATTGGCTCATGTTTTTGAAAAACTGCACATCATGTTCACCTAAATGAAACCTTTGACTGAGACCAGAAGAAAAGGACTATGTTGGTGCTAGTTTTAGAACAGTTCTCCACTGATTTGATGATTAATGTTTGCTCCAACTGTTAGTCACTTGTATCAATGTGAGGATTAGGACATGAACAGTAGTGATGATGATGGTATACCAAATAATTCAGATCCCAAACCACCTGTGTCGCTCGTTGTTAAAATTATCACCCAACATTCGTCTTAGAGGACATCCGTTCAAACTAGTAGTCTCAAAATGCCGATTGGAATGCTGTCGTTAGTCATTGGTAGTCAGAGTGTGTTCGATCTGGAACTCTCTCCTACCCTACGTCGTCTGTGCACCAACAATTGGATGTTTTAAATTGAGACTCAATGAAACATTAGCACACCTTACATTCCAAAATAAGTGAAGCTGCGTGCACCCTTGGCAGAATCCAGTATCATGTGACATTTGCACAAGGAATTGTACGTATCACTCTCTTTTAACCACAACATGAACCTATGGGACGAGAACAGTATGAGCTGGTATCTTATTCCCATAATAAATCTTTTATCTTTGAGTAACACACTGAATCAAGATCCATTGGTACAGATGACCAATAAGTTATGTAAAAGCAGTTTAATACGTGCGTTTCCGTTTTTGGTTTCTAACGGCGAAGTGGATAGCACAGTCCTGTAGGTTAAGAATACGCCATGCTGGCAGTCGATTTGTACGTTTACTGTCTACGCAGCATTACGAGAAACAGGTGGGGCAGCCGGACGAGCAGCGATAAGGTCAGGTGCAGAGGTTTAGGCAACCGCGGTCGCCCACTAGAGAAAGTGGTCGACCACCATAGATTACGTTTGGAGCATATGTTACGCATATCACCAGATAGGTTGCAACGGCGAGCGATTTTCGCCGAGGCAGGTAGCGGGTCGAAAAAAGCCAAGGGTGGTCAAGCTAAGACCTGGCATGATGGTATGAAAACCCTAACCAGAAGTCCGGGTCACATAGGTCCCGTTAGGCCCCCTGGCTGGGGACCTCGGGATGATAGTATCCGATGATTAGAGACACTGAATGATATGGCTGTGTCGTAAACAGGGGCGTTCGGGCATCTTGTCAATCTCTCTGAACCATTAGTCCAATGAAATTCTAAATTTTCTCTGTGATTCTAACTTCAATCTTTCCTGTTCTAGTCCTAATGTTCATCCAGATGGGCATCCAAAAGACAACAACCAAAACCGGCGAACAAAAGTGTGTGGTTAATAGTTGTACAAACTGAACTTGTGCAACATATGCGAGCTTATATGCTTGCATTTCAGTTAAAATACACACACCGAAAAAATTATGTAGATTCATTTCGCATGAAACGCGAAGAATATCAATCAATTTTTGTTTATGCAGCCAGATTCTGACGTCCTTAATTACCAACCTGTTGCTTGATGGTTCAGAGTCGGAGCAGACGGAATACACGGGAATTCTTTCAAATGTTAGTGCCAGTTGGTAGATGCCGAAACGAGGAGCATGTGTACGAATGTATAGAACAAGAGCGAGAATCAAGTTGGAGTGAATAAAGATGATGGTCAGAAATCGTATTGAGGAATTTAATACAAGAGTTGAGATCATTATTAAGTTCTCTGATCAGTGAGTCAACTGAAATAGAGGATACAGATTGGACTATCATCAAAGCACGACAAACGATTTTGAAGTCTTGTTTATAGAGAGGCTTGGGAACACTGTGAGGGTGTAACTGAGTACAATTGGTGAAAATTGGTAGTAAATTGATGAGTTAGAAAACGCAATGGTGAAAGGAAGAGGATAAAAATGACTACGGGGCTGGAATTGTCCACGTTTTTGAAGGGGAAACAAGATAAACTGAGAGTGTATTATTCAGGGTTAGGCCAGCCTTTTGATGCGTTTGTCTATTTCAATCAATGCAAACGGGAAAAGGCTTTAGCCTACGGCATCAAAACAGTGTTCTGGAAATCTTTGTTCAAGGGTCATTATGAAAATGGGCACATCCAGATCGAATAACCAAGGTAATGATTGCTCCTTTCAACCACGGCATAGCTAGGGCGTCTGAACCAAATTCGGCTTCTCAGCGCACAAAATCAGCTTACTCAACAGTTAAGGACCAGAATTTATAGTTTTGCTGACCATAAACTGTGACGCTCACCAATATAATCACGATTATTACGTGTTTATTTTTTGTGTTACATACTACTATCAACCGTGTGATATTAGGTTTCAATATTTGAGTGTGCCCACAAAGTTTATGAGTAAGCAAGGGGTCAGTAGTCGTCAGGGCTGAACTGAAACAGAAACGCTGGTCATTACATACCTTTTGGGTGAACATGAGACCGTCGCATCCAGAATACCGTCGACACAAATTTCGATCGATGTCCGCATACAAGTGGAAGACAATTGAGTATCTCATACTACACATTCGCTGCATCATCATATATCATGGCAAAGTGACCGGGCTCTCGTGCAACCTCAGGATACATGTGACAGAAAGAGATCATTCCTGGAATACATGATGCTGTCCCGTTCGTACTGTGAAAATGCACTGTCGTCAATGAGCAGTTGAGGCAAAAAATCATTTCATCCAATTTTAGGTGACGTAGTTCAGTTTTGTCAACGAACATTCAAGCATAACACTGCATTGATCTCTCAAGACTTTCATTATATTGGTCGCCTATTTTTGTTTCAAATTCGATGAAACGATTACCTCTTAAATTAAATCTTTTTTAAAAGCGCTAAACTGAATCGCGTTTAGAGTTCAACCGGATTATTTTCACTATTGCAAATGTTCTTCCATCAGAAGTCTTGACGACTTCGGTCGTTTTGAAAGGAGGGATCATACTTTTTTGATTTTATAATTGAATTGGTTCAAACCATAAAATGGTTTTAATATAGGTAGCAACGTATTTTATACATATGATTGGCTGGTGTCAACGAATATCATAAAACATGGGCACCCACAGACCGTGTCTCTCTGCCAGGGCTCATATGGTTCCAGTGGAGAATTATAGGGTTTAGAAACAATTTGTTCATCTTACACTGCAAATACTTTGTTCAATAAATGATCAGATTTCTGGGTGAAAATCCTCCCTTAGAACTTTTTTCTGGACTGCTAATGAAGCCGTTACAATCTTGTTGTCTAGCAGGCGATCAACCAAAATCAAGTTTAACCCAATTGAGCAGTGTTTGCGAATCTGGTAAATTCTGTTCAGTCATTCTCTGGATGCGAACTCAAAGGTTGCTTGTTTTATCTATCTCAATTTTCTATTCATTAGCCGACCCCGATGAAATGTTTGTAAGCAACAAAACTTTCAGAACCTATCTTTCTTAGTGATTTGCAATTTTTTCTCAATACTGTCCATTGTCCACGGCTATTGTTCCAATGATTTTCTTGGACATTTCACTCCGTACACTCGTTTGTTTTCAGACCTTTTTCTTCTCGTTGGTGTTTGCTCAATATTGTACTGGAGAATGGTTGTGAATATATGTGCAAATGTGTTTTTGTCTTGCATTCAATGCATTCCTTTCAGTAGGTTGGATCATTTTGGTCACATTTCACATTTGGTCTACTCCTCTAATCGTTTAATGGAAATTGGCTACATCATTGTAACATTACTGATATACAAGAAGAAAACCAGCCAGTGTGTAGTGATCAAGGCATTCATCAACCCAGTGATATTCTTCAAGATGGGCAGATAAGTCTCCTCCAGTGTAACGGGTCGGTGTGTGGGACACCACAAGTTTATTTAGGTTCCTTCTATGAAACTTGAACAGGTAAACGAGGAAAAACTATTCGTTTCTTTATCATGTAGTGGCAGATAATATGGATAATAAGTCCATTCGCTTGAAAACGGCGATCTTTATACCTCTACTGAGAAAGTACAATCCTCATTGAAGCCTAACTTCAATCACTAGATAATATAACTGCTTCAAAGTGTGACAGGATGCCTAATTTTGGGGTAAGCAGCTTTCGTATTTATGTCTAGTGACTTTTTAACTGAACTGTTTTTCCCGGTACCACACAAACATACAAATCTCCGACATGGATTATATCCACATCCAATGGTACTGAAACGATTAATGCAACATTGGCATCATATGCATTCATGTTTCGATACTTCCCAATTCATCGTGTTTATCACTATGCCTGGGTTTTTTCGATGTAATGCGAATAAAATTATCCCTTTTCTTTCTTTTGGTCTGAAATCAAAACCAATTTTTCATTTTGAACCCTAAAAGCCCGCCCTAACACCCTCCACTTGACGTGTGATCGATATGATTTAGTTCATTTCCCTTGTATGTCAGTTAGAAAAGATATGCGATGTAAGACATCANCCCCCCCCCCGCGCCCTCCCGCCGACATATACACACAGGCACAGGCACAGAAACACACAAACCATCACGGAATTAGTTCCAGTGCACGTCCGAGTAATAAAAAAATAGTCTTCGGTTGATACTCCGAATAGTGCACGCCGATTTGTGCACATACACATAGACTGGGACAGACCTCTATGACAAATACTCAGGTAGAAGATAATGGCATTTCGATGGTATGCCGGTACGTTTTCCCTTAGAATCTCTCCCTATACGAAACTATACAATCACATGAGTGAGAGTTTCGGTGAAATTCACAAATGGGCTGCATAAAATCAAA